TATAGGTATTATTTATTCAAGTCTCCTGGAAACCACTTAAGCCTGTGGGAGTTTGAAAATGTCCACTAGCCTCTGCATTAGTCCCCCCAGTGCTCAAAAGCAGCACTGAGGAATCAATACACAACCCCAATATATCACCCCCCCTGGCTCCAGCATTCTGAACCAGGGCTGTGGGGCTGGGGAGTGTGGGAAGATCGGTGCTATCACTTTAAAGGCTGAAATTCCCCCAAACTTACTCTTAATCAAGGTCTTCCCCACACTGCAAGTGTCCAACTAGGCTCCAGGGTTCTAGAATAGTTCCAAAACAGACAGCTCCTGCCAGCGCAGGAGTGCTTTAGATGAGGCATGGACTTCTAGAACTTCTTTCTCTGCCTTCTTTAGAGATATTACTCCCCTTAGTTTTCTTGACCCCACTCTTAGGTAAGAATGTTCGCTAATATTTTTAAAAATATGACTTTAATTAATTTTTAGAGAAAAAGGAAGGGAGAGAGATAGAGTGATAGAAACTTTGATGAGGGAGAAACATCATGGATCAGCTGTCTCCTCCTAGCCCCGTACTGGGGATCGAGCCTGCAACCTGGGCATATGCCCTGACTGGGAATCGACTGGTGGCCTCTTGGTTCACGGGTCGATGCTCAACCACTGAGCAACACGGGCCAGGCTGTTTGCTAATGTTTTGTTTATAGGTTCGCCTCTGTTTCTGATTCCCTCTATTGTAAATCGTAATGCACATCACAAGTTAGAGATCTTTGAGAACCCCTACAGTCCAGAAACTGATCCGTATTTTACCAGCCTTTCCCGAAGTATCTGAGCACAGGAGCTTTTGGTCTTATTCCTATGAAGACCTTATGGAAAAGTGTTCTGTGGGTCACCAGCTGAAAGCCTGCTTTCCTTCTTCCTCATATAAGCATGAAAGCTTGATTTCCTTTTCTCCTTTCCTCCAATGTTTTAGTCTGTCCAGATCATCATCATGGTATATTTGTCCTTTTCACAGTGTATTAGTTTTCTATTTATTTCCTCTCAAAACACCCTGTCATTTTGGAGAGAAAATTTGGCTTTTTGGCTGTCACAACAGAAAGACAATCCCACATAGCAAACAAAGTTCTATCTTTAGCATTGCTTTATGTCTAGCAATAAGAGCCAGCAATTTCTTCATTTCAAAGAATCCCAGGCAGCAAATAGAAGCAGGAACAAACAGAGCTTTGGTCCGCTGGCACTGACCACACATGCGTACATTAAACTCAGATGGGCTGAGTTTCTCTTCTGGCATCACAGTTTCTCTCATGATTACCTAGGGCTCTATTGCTGGTGTCAAGAAGATACTGTTGACTATGCCCTCAAAATATGCCTTATGTCTCCCCATTTTACTACTCAGCGTCATAACTCAAGCCAAATCTTAGAGGAGTCTTCCTTGCCTTTCTTTCACATACCCTATCCAACCCGTCAGCAAATCATGTTGCCTCTTAACTCCAAAATATATTCTGAACCCACTAATATTCTACTTGAAATCATCAGCTTCCCTTACACTTAAGCTACCCCCAAAGCCTCTGAGATGCCTTTACTCTGGCCTCCGACACATAGTTATCCTCCACAAACTTCAAACTATGAATCGGATCACATCTCTTCTTCCCTAGGCAGCAGGGAGTATTTAATACCAGCTCTTATAACATTGTGCACAGGTTCTCCATCCTCACCTGCTGCTGCTCCTGGTGCAGAATTTCCACTCCGTCCGTATTTCCCAGCATACACCCTTCATCAGGCCCTTCTGGCTTCTTGGTCTCTGCTCATTCAGTCTCCTCTATTTCAAATGCCTTTACAGTCCCTTCATGGTTCTTTTCAACTTAGCCTTCAAAGCTAGAGAATCTCCACCTCCAGGAGGCTAACCCTGACACTCTGTGTACCATGCTTTTCTATTTTAGAAAAATGTCTTGCAGATCATTTCGCAAGAGTACATTAATATGTAAATATTGCTACATTATTTTCATTGACTTCTAATGCAGAAATACCATTATTAGTCAATCAGCCCTTTGGGAGGGACAAATAGGTTACTTCAGACAATAATGCAATGGATACATCATTTTCTATATTTGTGAGGAAGAGTTATAGGATAAATTTCTATAAATATTATATGTAGTTGGATCAGAGGATGTGTCTCTTGAATTTTAGCACACACTGTAATGTGTCACCATTTTACATTCCCCCTAACAGTGCATTAAATCCCTGTTTGCTTCCCTTACTAACCCTCTGTATTGATATTGAGCAAACTGAAAACTAAAAAATGGTATTTACCATCTTAATTTGCAATTCTTTTACTATCATATGGAGGTATCTTTCCCTGTGTTTAGAACCATTTGTATTTTATTTTCTAAAAAATACTGGTTGGGGACTATTGACTTTTCTTCTCTTGGACTATTGATCTTAGATTATCTAGAGGAATTAGGATGCTATAGGGACCTACATAATAATTCTAGAAGTTCAACTTTACCTGCTTATTTAAAGAAAAGATATAACCACCACCCCCACCCCCCACCCCCCCCCGCCACACACACACACACACCATGTTTTTAAAGAACATTCCCAAGATAACTATGCTTGAGTTTTCTATGGCTCATGGTAAAAAATTCAACATAGCTTGAATACACATCTTTTACTGAGGTACAATAAACTAAATCATAAACAGCTGTTGTATGTTCATAAAGAAGATGAAACTAGGACACACTGCAAATCAAATACTGCCAATATTACTGGATTTAACCATAAATTTCCAGTAAGGACTTCCAATAACTTTAAAGAGCTGAATAAAGCAGCTGAAAGAACAGAACGAATTATAGTAACAAGATCCTGAATGGGAGGAGCACTGTTAGGGCAAGGAGAAAACTGCTCATTCATTCCACATCAAAATTCTGTTGAGTGTCCTCAGGCCCTAAGAAGTAAAGGAGACATTAAAAATCTAGCAGCAGGAGACACACAAATAAGCAAATGAGGAAATAAAAAGTGATAAACTGTAATATGTGTGATTGTGGAAAAAAAAAAAGGAGAATAAAGGGTGTAGAACAGAGTAGTTTCCAACATTAGCTAGATGACCCAGGGCCTCTTTAGAAGGTAACAGCTGAGTAAATGTCTAGAAGTTATAACAGCAACCCATGCAGGCAGGTGGAGGTGGTAGGACAAAGCATCCCAGCACAAGGAGCAGCAAAAACCCGGGCCCCGAAGTAAGAGTAGAGAGTGGCATGGAATTTGAGGACCAGGGTGGAGTCCAGGGTGACCAAAATGGAACTGGGGAAGCTGAGAGGAACAGGAGATGAGATTCCAGAGCTCAGGAGGGGCTTTGACTCTGCATGAGGTGGAGCGTGGAGCCAAAAACCAGTATGATGGCTTACATATTCATAGCTTTGCTCCTCTAGTCATCTTGAGCAGAAACAGGCAGAGGGTAAGGAAAGAGGCAGAGGGAAAATTTAAGGGACTGTTGCAATAATCCCCAAAAAGTGATTACCTGGAAAGGATCATGGCCTAGAAATAAAAAGAAATGCTGGACTTTGTATGGATTTGGAAGTGGAGCTGTTAGGAGGCTCCCATGGGTAGGAAGAGATGAAATCACCAGGTGGTGAGGTGAGTAGAAAAGAGGTCTAGGACTGAGCCTGGCAGCAGTTCAGTACTGAGAAGCCGGGGAAGGTGTGAGGAGGAGCGCAGGGGAAACAGGGAAGCAAACCAGGAGCGAGCACCGCACAAGGAAACACGGCTCTCTCACAAATGCGCACTGGAGAAGCAATGCGGACAACAGGGAGTGAGAGGTGGGGAGTGCGGGCCAAAAGCCTGAATGAAATGGGCTCAGGAAAGGATGGAGGGGACAATTTGGACAAAGCGGTTCAACAACTCCCCAAGGCATGTTGTTATAAGTAAAGAAGAAGCCTATACCAAGAGGAAGAGGACATATGGTCAAGAAAAAATTTTAAAATAATTTTTAAATGATACAAAAATGATGCATGACTAGGATGATGGGGAATTTCAGAGAAGAGAATTAATAGAGCTGTATTTCTTTGAGTAAGCTACACAGAATGACAGTTGGTCGGTACAGCATTAACCACAATATTCTAGCTATGCCAACAGAAGATCAGATGAATTAATTGCATAAACTAATATAATGGAAAACTATACAGCAATGAAAATGAACATATAGCAACATGCAACAAAATTGATGAATCTCACAAGCATAATATTAAGAGAAAGTAGTCCAATGAAAGAGAATGCACACTGTATGACTACCATATGATTCTATCAATATAAAGTTCTCAAACATTCAAAGGACTCTGCTGCATCAGAAGTCAGAATTATGGTCACCTGGAGGAGCAGGGGAGGGAGGAAATGGAAGAGGATAGGGTGGTCGCAGGTACAAATTGCAGTCTACTTCTTGATTGGATAGGAATTCAGTCAAGAAGTAGAATTCACTATTCATTTTGTGATTGTTCATTGAAATGTATATTTATGCTCTGTGTAAGGTCCTGCATCTATATTATAATGTTCAATAAAAATTAAAATAATAAAATAAAGCAAGATATCCTGATATCTTCAGCCTTAATGGAAGAATTTAACTAGAGCCGCATGATCACTTGCTACAGACACAGTTAAAAGATGAAAGAAACTTTAAAAATTGCTGATAAAGTTAATAGTTTTTTAAATGAGGCTGCTGAATCTCTCCCTCAAAATAGCAATATTTTCTTCTTCTTGTGGTAAAAATTAATATTCCATGCAGAAGAGAGCAAAAATGGTATCCTAAAAATAATTTTTCTAACCCATGAGTGACCATCTATGCTCTTTAGATTAAACCCTACGAACAAGCCATCAGAGACAAATCAGTGCTTCTGTTCCATAAAGTCCTGGCTCCTTCCCCTGGCATGTCTCTATAATAAAGCGACAAAAATGTTCCTGACAACATTTTTGAGACAAATGCCTTAGGGACAAACTCACAGGTGGTGGCTCCTGGAGTCAGGTCCTGCACTCACCAGGGAGGGTAGATGTGGATGATGTCTTGGGGCTGCCCCCTGAGATGGTGTGCAGTCTCCTTGGTGAAGAGAACCTTCAGGCCAGGCCCAGAGGCTTCACCTTGAGAAGAGTCGCCAGCCTGCAGTCCCACTAACTGCTCACACATGGCGACTTGGATGGTGCATTCTTCATGCAGCTCTAGAATTTTCACAGTTAATACACCAGATCTGCTACCTGGAAGGGAAAGAAGAAACAAAAGGAAAAATAAAGTCTAAAAGACATGGCTCAAGTATGAATAAAGGGACATGAACAAAAGAATCATGCTCGGATAGTTTCCTTCCCCTGGAAAAAAAGGTCTGCACACTTTGCAGAATAAAAACAGACTCTAACATGCTCCTCTGTCTTTAAAGTCCAAAACGGCCTGCGTGTTGCGTTTAAGAAATACAAAGTGTAGACTTCTATCATAAAGAAACAGTCTTGTGCGTATGGAAAACACAGACCCACTATTTCACATATCAAAGGAAGTATGAGCACCTAATTGATCCTTCTTTCTTATATACTTCCTCCACCTCATTACCTGCTTTGATTTTCTACTTTCAAATGATGCAGGATGACTGGTTGGCTGCAACTGTTCTAATGATCATAAAGGTTAAAAGTGGCAAATGCATGTGGACTGCTAGGTGTTAGGGGGTCTGGATTTAATAGGGCGAAATTCTACCTGGATTCAGGTACTAGGTGTATTATTCAGCTAGACACGTTATAGAGCATTTCAACACCTCAGTTTTCTCATGTGTAAAATGAGAATCACGCCAATAGCCACAATTAATATATTTAAAGATTACATGAGATAAATGAAGTTGACAGTCCTATAACTCAGAAATCCTAGATATATATTCCAAAACCCTTGTCACATGTACTAGGAGACCTAAACTAGGAAGCACATCTCAGAGGTGTTTGTAAGAGCAGAAAACTGGACCCAGCATTTACCAATAGGAGGATGGGTAAACTGTTGTGTGTTCATACAACAGAAACTACACAATGTAAGTGTAATGTAATGAGCCAGAGCTACATGTATCAGCACAGAGAGATCTCAAAAAGAAGATGGGGTACACAAGATTTTAGAGTATGACACTTGTGATGTTATTTTTTTAAAACACAGAAACCCATACAAGGTGGGGCAATAGTAGGTTTACAGTTGTGAGTACATGAAACACAGAATTTATTCTTGTATTATTATTATTTATTAATTTTTGTATTGTTTTCCATACAAATAACTGTAACCTACTTTTGCCCTCCCCTGTAAAGTTATGAATACATATATAATAAAAGTACATAAATATGGACTAGTAGGATACATAGAAAACTCATGATAACAACTCATTCTAAAGAGAGAGAAAGAGGAATATGATTAGGGAAGGAAACTCAGAAGATTTTCAACTTATCTGCAATACTGTTTCTGTTATAAAATATGTAAATCAAAATAAGAAAACATTAAAACGTGTTATTAATTCTTTGTGGTAAATACACTTACGTTTTTCTATTACTCTGTTTTATAATTTAAAGAAATGAATTAGAGATCCAAAATGGCAATGGAAGAGGTGAAAGCTACACTTGCCTCCTCCCCAGGACCAAACAGGAATTACAACTAAATTACAGAAAACTCATTCTGAATAACCAACTGAAGACTAGCTGAACAAAAGTCTTATAACAAAGGGTTTACAGAAGAAGCCCCATCGAGACTGTTCCAAACAAGTTGTTGGGGGCCCGTCACAGGCAGCATCTTACATTGGCCTCCACCACAGTCCCACCCAGGCAGCCGAGAACCAACACACCCAGTGGCAAGATTCAGACATCAGAGCAGGATCCAATAAGCTTCACAAGCAGCATATCCAAAGGGAGATCTCAGCAGGCAACAAACCCTACTGAGGTGAACTCGGCTTTGTGGGTCAACACCTGTATAGCAGTTCGCATGCAGTGGTCAGGGTGCAGCCTCACAGTCAGTCAACCTGAGGGTCGATTCCACGCACGATTATCCAATAGCACTCAAGACTCAATTACAACGCAGGGGCCACATAACCCACACAAGGGACATTTCCGGAGCACCCAGCTCAGGTGACTAAGGAGACTGCAAACGGAACCCTACTCAGTAAGGAAATCCCACAAAGACTTGGAGTCATAGCAGCTCCATCAAATACATAGAAATAAACACAAAGAGGCAGCCAAAATGGGGAGAAAAATGAAACAGGCTAAAAATGAAAGAATAAGAGAAATATCCAGAAAGAGTTAAATGAAATGAAGTCAAGAAATTTATCGGACATATCGTTCAAAGTAATGATTACAAGGATGTTTAACTCAGCAGCAAGAAAAAAGACAAAGAAACCCTAAAAAAGGAGAGTCAGAAATAAATAATACATATCTAAAATGAAGAACACGCTGGAAGGAATAAACACTTGGTAGAATAAAGCAGAGGATCAAATCAATGATATGAAAGACAAGGGATAAAAAAAACTAAACATAGCAAAAAATATATATTTTTTAATGACGATAGTTTAAGAGAACTTTGGCACAACATGAAGTGCAAAAACATCTGCATCATAGGGATACCAGAAAAAGGAGAGCAAGGGATCAAAAGCCTATTTGAGAAAATAATGACAGAAAACTTGACTAATCTAGTGACGAAAAAAAGACACAGAAGTCCAGGAATCACAGAGAGTCCCAAACACAATGGAACCAAACGGGCCCACAACAAGACACATCATAATTAAAATGGCAAATATTAAAGACAGTTACCTACAAGGCAGCTCCCATAAGTCTGTCAGTTGATTTCTTAACAGAAACATTTTAGGCCAGAAGGGGTTGGCATGAAATATTTAAAGTGATGAAAAGGAAGAACCTACAACCAAAACTTTACCAAGCAAGACTATCATTTAAAAGTGAAGGAGAAATAAAGAGCTTCCCAGAAAAGAAAAGATAAAGGAGTTTGTTACCAACAAACCATTACAAGAAATGTTAAAGGGCTGCTTTAAGAAGTAGAAGAAGCCCTAACTGCTTTTGGTCAGTGTTTAGAGCATAGCCCCACAAACTGAAGGGTCATGGGTTCAATTTTGGTCACGGGGACATACTTCTGTTGCAGGCTCAATCCTGGCTCCAGGTTGGGGGGTGGGATCCGGCCTAAACCGGCAGCCAGATATCCCCTGAGGGGTCCCAGATTGGAGAGGGTGCAGGCTGGGCTAAGGGACCACCCTCTCCCATGCATGAATTTCGTGCACTGGGCCTCTAGTCTTAAGATAAAGAAGGAAATGGAATGGGGGAAGAATATGAACCAGCACAATGTTACACTGAGTGGGAGAAGAGTGGGGCTAAAAACAAGTATTAAAGAAAGGCCATGACTAGGTGCTGAATATTGAATGTGCTCTCCCACAACAGGTGTTTCTTTAAGGAAAAGTAGCTCCTCTTCAATATGTGACTAGGAAAAGAAGTCAGGACAGCATGAGGTCACTTTGGTACATACACCATTTATCCTGACAAGGTAGCCAGAGCCATGGTGGAAAATTAGGGTCTTCAGCAGCAAATGGAAAAAGCCCTAGGTCTGTGCACTGCATTAGCCACAGGAGCATTTTTGGACATATTTTAAGAATTTCTAAAACTTGTATCTGTACTCAGGCCTCATCCTCAGCAGTGTATACCAGGCTCGCCGCCTCACCAATCAACCACTGGCAGCAGCTGCTGTCCAGAGCTTCAGGGCTACGTGCTGTCCTGCTCAAGACCAAGTGTTGCAGCTGAGCACACACTCTTGGTATGTGTGGCTACACTCCTGGCTGTGGCAGCCTCCAGCGATGCTCAGCTGCCTGCCTACGCAGCACAAGTCCTCTCTTTAGGTTCTATTTATTGCTTTTTGCTCTGATGAAAACGTGACACAGGTTTTCAGTGGTCTTCCCCAACCCTACAATTCCCGTAGACCCTGACAGATTTTATGAGAGGCAAGATACTGCAGGAACACATAAGTAGTGTTACAGAAGAAAAACCTTTATTATTAAGATGAATCATAGTGCTACTGACTAGAGTTTTTTTTGAAGATTTTTATTATAAATCCTGACAACAGTGCAATAACTATAAATTCTGTTCAAGGTCTGTAGCACCGAATAACTTGTAGAATAAACGCACTTGATGATACTGAGCATCACTAAACTGCAGCAGGCCTGGCGACTGAGCAGGTTTCGGAATGAATGATGAGCAGCATCACACCTCACCAGAGGGCTGGGAACAGCACTAGGCTCTCCGCCAAGCACTCCAAAGTCTCTCCTGCAGATCCTCAGGCCCAGCCTTAAGGAGGAAGCAGTGGCCTGCCTTTCTGAAAAAAATAATGTCCCCATTGCGGGAGGAAAAAGCATGAGGCAACTGAGGACAAATCACACATTTAAGGCAAGCTTTCAATCTGAGCACAAGATACTGGCTTTACAATTAGACTGTTTGCAATTAGATGCAGGTCGTTTGTGTGCCAGTGGGACAGCATTTTCCATAAACGCTGTACGACGGCCAAAATGTCACCTCTCTAGGAAGTGTTTCCTGAACCAGCCAGAAGCAACTATTCTTCCCTTTGAAATCCTCAAATACCTTATAATTTTAAAGAAATTTATTTTTTTCAATTAGTGTATATTTGATATTATTTTGTACTAGAGGCCTGATGCATGAAAATTCGTGCAGGAGTAGGTCTTCCTTCCCCCCAGCTGTCGGCACCGGCTTCCCTCCGCCACCCAGGACGTGGGCGGCTTCCCTCCGGCCCTGGATTCATCCAGAAGGATGTCTGGTCTAATTAGCATAGTACCCTTTTGTTATAGACTAGAGGCCCAATGCATGAAATTTGTGCAACGGTAGGCCCTTGCAGCCCCAGTTGCCTCAATCCTCGTGGCCCCAGCTGCTTTGACCCTCATGACCCCAGCTGCCTCGGCCCTTATAGCCCCAGCTGCCTTGCGGCCCTGCAGCCCCACCCCCACCCACCAGTCATTCCGGAAGGTTGTTCTGGAAGATCGATCCACCGTCCAGTCTAATTAGCATATTAGCTCTTCATTATATAGAATTAGTTTCAGGTATAGAGCACAGTGGTTAGAAAATCATATACTTTACAAAGTAATCCCCGCAATATTTCAAATACCCTACCTGGGTACATAGTTAATATTATTGACTACAGTCCTTTGCTGTACTTTTACATTCCCAGGGTCATTTTGTCACTACCA